AATTGGAGAATTAATTTCGGTCTGTCTGTTTGACCGTCCGTCTGTTCGTGTAGTGTAAACATAGTCTGCAGTCAGATTAATATCCCCACGCTGGCTGCAATGAATGAATGAGAGCTGATGATATTTGATATTGGTAAAATATGGGAAAGTTGGGGAATAAATAAAAATTCCCTACTATGAAAATGAAGAGAGCGCACACAGATTTTTTTATATCTTGTAGCTCATGTTTAAAATAAACGTAGTTTGTAGTAGATAGAATGTTCATTAAATCATTTAAATGGTATTGTCTACTGCTACGGACCCGGTGAAAGGGCCTGAAGTTGATGTTACAGTTAGAATTCCCTCTAATTAAGGATTGTGATTACAGTATTTATATGATACGTACGTTTTGCTTATTTGTGTGTGATTTTGTCATGATGCAAACAGTTGTTTTCTATTTCAAATATTACGCAATTTTAATATTTATAACCAGGTGATAACCTGAGAAGCATATATGCATTTATCTTTCAAACCAAACTTCCCTATGACCAAAGGAAGACCTCTATATATTTTATGTCAAAAGGCCAAGGTCGTAAAATATCGCACGGAAACGAAAGTTTTATACATTGACCTTTGCCATAAATTGGCCTAAAAATCAATTGACCTTGTTTATTCCTTGAGCGAATTTTTTTATTTATAGGAAAGGTTAAAAATGCGTGCACGGAAACAAAAAGTTTTTAAACAGACAGAATAATTGAATTCATATATGACATTGCCCTTTCCCCTTTTGGCTTAAAAACAAATCTTCCTTGGGCTAAGTTTAAAAATTTCTGGAAAGGCAGACAGATACGAGTGAAGAAACAGGAGAGACAGAAAGACGGATGAACGAGCCGAAATCAGTATCACTGACGTTCAGTTGGGGCCAAAAATCCTTAAAAAGGTTATTAAAAATTTTTGAAGAATCTTGTAAACAAAACATTGACAGAGGCAGTGCGGAAGCTTAATATATCTGGAACGACAGGTTTCGATATTTTTAGTTTGTTTTGGATTCCCCAATTCATTCACTACGTCAGCGGAAAATGTAATAATAGCAACCAAACACATGTCTGCCAAATGACGAACATTTCATGTAATCCCATTTTTAGATATCTACTTGAAACATATGTAAGTGACTAAGATAGCAACAAGTAATCGGAAAGGTAGAGGTAAGTAAATATTGCCACTCCCTTGGCTCTCAGTCCTAGTGTACTGTATGATAGGTTATTTAAAATTAATTCATGAATGAATCCAGGGTGTAAGGGTATTTTTTTTTTAATAGGGCGTGCCACTTAATTCGACAAGCATGCAGTAAGTTGTTTAGCCCAAACTTATTTTGGGTGGGAGAGGCAGCTGACTTTCTTCAATATTATATCTATGACCCTTCATTCAATTTGAAGAGATATCTGGGTTTTGTCTTTGGGAGGTGACCACGAGATTTATGTCATAATTTTTTTTTCACTCTGTAGATTTAACCTTCACATTCCAGTTCTGTAATTTCACATCAAAATTCAATCTGTGTCATGCAAGCTTTAGTTTCGGTTTTAATTCAGATGGAGTCGTAGTAATTCAGTTTATAAGCATGTTTTTTGATATAAAACATTATTATTCATAAAACCTCGTTGGTGTCTTTATGTATTAATATTTCTTATAAATCCATATGAACAAAAACTCTGGTAAAGGAAGGTTCATGCATTAGAAAACAGGAATTTAAAGAAAAATACGGGATTTTTTTTTTACTTTAAAAATAACTTTGGGTTTTCTTGAAAAAAAAAAACAAAAAACAAAACAACATCCTATTGATATATTCAATGTATCAGAATTAAAAGAATGTGCTATGCAGATTAAATTAAAAAAATAATGTACAAAAGTAATTAAACTTAACGTTTATTGGCAAAAACATATAAAAGTCTCGAACCCAAAATGTCAGAAACTCAATTCATAGTTTCATACCAAGGCATTGAGAACACTAATTAAGCGAATTTAATTGACAGAAAAATAAACAGATATTCCTTTATCCTGGTACTGTATCTTAAAGTTTGGAACAATAACTTAAAAATTTAATTGTGATATATAGAAAAGTGAAATTATCCATTGGCAAGTTCTAAATCGGTGAGAATTTTACTTTGAACGAGAATACAATGTACATGTACATAATTATCTTCAATCATTCTCATATTTTTAGCTCAAATACGCCAGGGGCGGACCCAGGAATTGAAGTTAGCGAGGGGGCGCAAGATATAGACCAGGGGTCTTGGGGCCGCCTCATGGATTCTAGAGATTTTGTATAGGGTAAAAATGAGGTGTACCGAGTAGACATTTTAAACATTTTATCGACAAAACTATATTTTATGCTAACTGTGACAATTTTAGGGGGGGGGGGGGCTTAAACCCGTCCCTGTAGGCTATTTATATAGCTTTGATTCTGCGAAAAGGAAATTTGATTGAGAGGAAATAAAACCATTACCAGTATCCTATACATACATTTTAGTGTAGTTACATTTTGCTGTTGTTGAATCAAAGGGCTGTAATTGTCCGAATTATAGTAATTCCCCAGAGTTTTCGCGTAGAATTCGAACCATCACGTAATCTATTCCATTGAGCGCTCGCTCAGTGATCGTTCGAAATGTCACGGGTTCTATCCCCCGATCATGATTAAATTAAGTTATCAACTATTCTTTTCATCACCAAGCGCTCGGAGCTCGGAGCTTTGAACTTTGATTTCAGGTAACATGTACATAGCCAATAAGGTATTTTCGTTACATAAAAGGTATATTTTCATACGCCCGTCTTAAGAAAAACTTATAGACTTAGAATCATCAAACATGGCCAGTTTATGCATCTTAGGAAGAAGGTGTGTCGCTACCTATTATAAGATCACTGTGACCCTTAATTTAAGTGGAATTTAAAAAAAAGGTCTTTTTTCCTATTTATTTACACATTAAAAAAATGAAAAACAATTGCACTAACCTTATTAGAAAAATGTTAAATCAAGAAAATACTTATTTTTTTAGCATATACTTGACAGCAATCTATAACAAATATAATGTATGTTAGAGAAATTCCATCACTCCCAGGATTCTAATTATCAAGCACTGTTCAAGAAGAATTTTGATTACAGAAAATTGCATGTCAAATTAGAGAGAGAAATTAATGAGTTTAGTGTGAGGAGTAGCTGTAAGAGCATCGGTGCTATCTATATCCCTTGAGTATTGGGCCAAATGGGTAGGCCAGTTGGATTAAAAATAGCTCTTCCGAAGTTTTAAAATGAATTTGATGAGAAGTAATTAAAACTTATTCGATATTGCATATTAAACTATTTTGATATTACATAGTATTATGAACTTAAAAATTAATCTTATGGGAGTAGGGGTGGATTCTACATGTCCGTATGAATTGCATATTAACAATTAACTGTCTGACATTAAAGGTACTTGGACACAGATTTGAAGTAATATTTTCTCATTTTTTCTGTATAATATCACGAATTATATATTTTTATAGCATTTCACACGAAAATTAATTAAAAATCTTATTTCATTTAAAAGTTATAAAAACTTTAAATTTTTTGGCTGGTTTGATTGACAAATATTTGCACTTTCACAAATTTTAACTTTATTCTTTATCCTTAGGAAAAGTGGCAATTTTGATGTGTTTTAATGAGAAATATTAAAACTTTTATCAAGAAAAATAATTTCATTCAGAGTAGAAATGTTAGAAAGCAAAACACCTTCATTCCGAACTAAGAGATGCGTACAGAGTTTAGCAAATCGAGCACACTCGTGTTATGTACACAGTTTTTGTAAACAGGGCTCGAGTTCTGTTATTGTTTATATTTTGAATTCACCGGGTGCGTTCAATCGTCACAGTCTGCTTACCACAACTGCACGGACTGACAATATATTGTGTGTTTCATATGTGTATTCCCTGTGATAAGACCTTTCTTTGGGTACAAATTTGACCTTTTGACCTTGACCTTGGAGTTTCAACTTCTTTTACTAAATAATTCCAAACTTTTACTTTGGCCATAACTTTTGAATGGTAGGTACAAGAACTTTCATTTTTCACATATTTATAGTTTGTGACAAGACCTTCCAATGACCTTCCAAGGATGACCAACAACTTTGACCTTTTGACCTTGACCTTGGAAATTTACATACTTATGAAACAACTATATCCTTGACCATAATTTTTGAATGATAAGGGCTACGGCTTTATTACTTCACATATGTTATTCTTGTAAGAAGACCTTTCATTGGGTACCAAGAACTTTGTCCTTTTTACCTTGACCTTGGAGTTTTAACTACATATTTAAAATTATAACCTTGGTCACAACTTTTGAGCGGTAGATACAAGAACTTTTATATTTCACACATGTATTCTTAGAAACAATACCTTTCATTGGATACCAACAACTTTGACCTTTGGACCTTGAGTTTGGAGATTAACATACTTCTGAAAAGGCTTTTACCTTGACCATAACTTTTAAACGGTAAGGGCTAGGGCTTTCGTAATTCAGGTACGTAATCCTTGTGAGAAGACCTTTCATTGCATGCCAAGAACTTTGACCCTTTGACCTTGACCTTGGAGTTTTAACTACTTTTTAAAAACGTTTAGCTTGGTCACAACTTTTAACGGTAGAAACTAGGATGTTCATATTTTAAATATGTGTATTCTTTATGACAAGACCTTTCATGGGATACCAAAAAACTCTGACCTATTGACCTTGACCCTATAAATGATATCTTGCCCACAAAGATACCGAAAGCGGGGGACCGTAATTCTTTGAATTTGCTTGTTTCTTCTTCATACGAATGCAATGGGTTAAAATTTATATAATGTGCCATAAACATGTGCTGTTTGAAACCATTAACTTTATCTTACGCTGTTCACAAGTGACTTGTGTTATTTTTTAAGTGTTTTCCTCATGTTACTTAGTAATAAGTGGCTGTTTTCCAAGTTAAAGATAACGCAAGCTTTTCTTGATAGTAGAAAGTATACTGTATGGTATAATGTGGGTAAAATTATTAGTACAGTGTATGTGCCATTTGTGTGGACATTATATATCCGTTGAAGCGAAGAACCAGAAATTTCTTTGGCTGTGATTTATTTAAAAAATTTTATTTTGTAAGTACATATCATGATAAAGTAAATTTGACTCAAGAACAAAAAAAATTAGGCGAACTCACGTTCTGATCTCAATCTAACCGTTAAGGTGTTTCCACCCTCACAATTTTATAGGTTCAAAGTACAAAAACTGCATTTATTTTCATTTGATATACTTTAAACTTTCAAATTCTTACAAAAATGTATAGGTCACCATATTATTTAAGATGCTAAACATAAATAAACAGAAGTGTATGTCAACATAAAAAATCGCACATTTTTTGTAAACAGTATTATGAAAAATTTGTAAAAACTATTTAAAATGCATAATTCTGATGCTTAGTGTTTTCTAAATATTTCCTACTTAAAAGATACTTCTGAATTGTGAATATTATGGAGACTATTTTACAATAAAGCAAATGCCTGAATGAAGAGACCCTAGAAGGAGTTATTGCCCTTGTCAGCATTTTTTAAAGATTGAATAATTGATTAAATATAGAAAATGTTTATTTTTTAAATTCTTTAACTTTACATTATTTATTATTACACCTATTGTAAAGCATTCTACCAAGAGAGATTGTTCTAATGGGTATGAATTTAAATTAATTACAGTTTTTGCAAAAACCTATGACATCATAGGAGGGTGGAATTACCTTAAATGAGAGAAAAAGTCTGACCGAAATCAGGTGAGCTTATGTAAGTTTTATGACTGCGTTTTATGACTTAGTTTTAAGTCTGGTGAATTGTTAAAAGTTAATGATGTTAATTTTTTGTAGATCAATACTGACTTTTTTTGGTCTTCCTTAAGAAAGCTACTCTGTATATGTCATAATTTATCTTTTTTATATTTTGAATTTTTCCAGGAATACAAAATTAAAAACATTCCTTTATTTAATCATGTATTGTTTTACTCCTAACACGGTTGTTAAAAAAACTACACTTGTTACACTCAAAATGAGTAATAATACATCCAAACAGCTATATTTTCTCCAAGAATAGATATTTGTTAAATGAACGTATATCCCACCAGTACGACAGCGTATACGTGCCATATTGACAATGTAGAGAAAAAATTTAAATATCGTTTGTACGATTTTTAAATCGTTTGAACAATTAAAAAAAAAAACGTCTGTACAATTTAGAAAACCGTTTTAACGATTAAGAAAATCGTATATATGAACGATTTAGGAAATCGTTTGTACAATTGTTAAATCGTTTGAACAATTTTTTTTTCTGATTTGGAACAGAAGCGTACTGGATAAGAAACCTGGTAAAGCTATTGTATAGAGAAGTCCCTTCTCTTCTGACTATAACAGGTACATAAATACTGGTTATTAAAACTGTATGGATATTGATGTAATGTTATTATTAGTATACCATCATATCACAATTTCATTCACAATGTTTCTATGGTCACTTGTCGTAAGTTGGGCCTATGTTAATGTACAATCTTCGTCTAAATCTGTTTCCTCTCCTTAGTTATTGTCCTTTTCAACGTTCGTTCACTAACAAAAACTCAGTGAGTTTGCTAAAGGAGCTGTGCTTTTTCCAAAAAGGTGAAACCAATTTTGAAATAACCTTTCTTCAATTTTCCTCTGCCATTCATCGTGTCATTTATTAAAACTATGCATGGATACGTTGTTCTTCTTAAGCAAAGTTTTCTACTTTGTCGACATGGCACGAATACGCTGTCGTACACCAGTCTTAACATTGTAAGAGAATTTGTGGATGGTATTCCACATCCATATTTACAGTAATTACACGGAATCTCTTTTCATGTTATAAGTTAAAAATAACTTTTGACGTTGGTTATACAATATTCAGTTGCATGATTATTAACAATACATATTTTCATCGTGCTCACCCGATATATATCATATGCTAAATAATTCCCTTTTTAATTGGATTATAATTGAAATCACACTTTAATGATCTGATATAGCTTCGTGATCTCTTCCTGAAAATGAGTACATGCCCATCATGTGTTATATAAAGCAGATATTTTCTTTTTAAAATATTAATTGATGCACAGATCTACGTACATGTATCTCACCTCCCTTTCTCTATCTCTCGGTGTATGTGAGGAGGTGTGAATGTGTGTGAGACTGATAAATGATCTCCGGTGTCTTTAATTTTTTGAAATCTGCAACATATTAAACTCGATATAATTATTTCAAAAATTACACAAATAGTTTGTGCATGTAGTAATATCCCATGCAGCTTTCTATGAGTTTACTCAGGTGATCTAAAACAGAAAAAAATGTGCAGAGAAATAAGTATAAGGAAGGGGCTGGGAATGCATGGAAAGAATAAAGAAGGAATGGGTTGTAAATGATACAGAATGTTACTCCGGTTATTAACCGATTTTATTGTAAATTGATTCCCTCCCACACCCGATCATTTAAATAAGAATATTTCTTTTGATTGCACGAAGAATTTATGTACATTTTTAAAAACGCACTTAATGCACATGTCTTCGTTTGAAGACAATCATGCATGATACTTTTAAAAATGAACTGGAAGTCACATACAACTATGCATGAATCCAGGCAATGAGAACAAATTGTATTGTTTCTTGAAACTGACGAATTACATGTATAGTACCATTGTTTTCTTCGTGAATTTTTATACTCAAGATTGTAAATGACTTCAAAAATGTTTTTCATGGTCGAACAATCGTTACTCTGGTTGGTCAAAAAATTGTTAAAATCTTGAATTTTGAGTGCATTTTAAATTTTTGAATTTTCCTTTAAATTGTTCCATTTCTTCATGTGCAGTACATGATACCGGTAAGTGTTGTCATAAGATTGAATTTACGAACTCGGAGAAGACAGATTTAGTATTTCCCGAGGAGAAAATAACTTATGAGAGTTATTTTTCTTTTTATTATTTAGAAAGACAGGACATCCTGATTTTTTTCATTTATTTTTATCTGCGAGATCGAATAAATGTATATATGTATTCCCTATGTAAAGTCATGTATAATACCAATTAGACAGGAAACAAAATATATTTATTTACAATATTTTTATCGCAAAGTTACATTAAAAGCACTGTGTTTATGTTTGTATATTAATTTGAATCTGCAAAAATGATAATCCTATTGTCTTTAATGGTTCAAAGTTTAGCCCTTCTAGCGAGATACTGAGTCTTGTGATTATATATGTCAAAATATATAAATTAGTTGCTGATGTCATACATTCTAGATCTATATTTAAATAAATCTTTCAAAAAGTTCTGAAGAATAAACATTATAAATGCAATGGAAGTGTGGAATCGGAATATGTATATATTTTTTCTGCATGGCAAACCGTCTTAAATACTGCTTTTAGACGTAGCAATTTGAAGAAAATAATCCCTTGCATGAAGTAAAAAAATTCTGTATTTTAAGCTCTTTATTCCTCATACAGATACTCTTATTTCAGAATACCCAAACAGTAAAATTTTGCCACGATGCTGTCTTAGGTCTATTGTCTTGTTAAAAATCAGATCATATCAAAAATCATTCAGTTAGACGTTAAGAGGCTGTTGGCAGAGGGGATTCCTACGGGGTTCAAACCTTCTCATAATTTCTTAAAAGTAAATTGAGATAAAACCTCTAAAATACCCGACCGGTCATTAGCTTCAAAATTTAAAAGGCCAGAATCTTGACATTCATTTAGTGGCTATACTTAGCATCCGTAAATCTGATACATTCTCTGTTAACCCCAGATCCTCTTGACATTGTTTACATTCATGCATACCAAACCTATTCGGGGAAATAATATGAAGCTTCCCCCTTACCCTCTCAAAGTGACCCGTTCAGTGTTATAATACCGTTGATAATGTCATGGTAAGTAATTTAAGGCAGTTGTAACCTTTCTCTGAGTCTATATCCGTCGTGTTGATTCTCTATTAATATAATATCACTGACGAGCCATCAATGACTGCGTGTCCAACGATATCAAAGCAGCGTTGCTTGTATATATTCTAAAAATAAAACCACGTCAGAAATATTTACAATGTGTATTTATAGTTAGCTTTATGCAGTGACACATGACGTATATATATTCATACGCCGACGGTGCAGCTAATTACAGAAGATATAATCTGTAATAGTTTGAAGAATGGAAAGTTTTGTGTCTTATTCTCCGGTTTATAAATAAACAAGTTCATACAAATAATTAACAATAGAAAAACATCTCGACATATAATAAACTAATTATAAAGTGTTCAAAATAAACTATATGAATTAAAATTCCACTGATTGCGCACATTTTGATAAAAACAGGGAAAAAAAATCTTGTACATGTATATGGTATCATTGCTGCATACAACAATTTAATAATCATAAATTCACATTTATACAAAATAGATATTGATGATCTTGAAACCTGTTTTATCTCATTTCATTTCAGAAGGTATGGGGCTGAGAAACTACTTTACATCTTAATAAAAGTATAAATAAAATTATAAATATTTTTTTGTACAGTGGTTTCGCAGGTTCTTAGATGTGTATGGAAAGGACTACATCTTATACCGCATATTTAAAACTATTAATTTTAGAGAGATTAGTCACCATAATATTAAATGAAATCAAAATATTTGCAAGTGAACTTTCCCTTACCACTCCACCCCCCCCCCCTTTTACAGTCACATTTAATATTTTTTTCTTGTTTTTTTTTCAGTCAAAAATGGACAAATATGATTATTCAGTATGAAATGCACAACAGTCCAATAAAGAAAAATAAGGAATAAAAGAATGCCATTCAATGTGTACCTTTTATTGGCCGCAGTACTCTTACTCTGCTCTTCAATCCGAAGTTCTCAAGGAGGAACGGTGGGAATTTATTTTGTTATATAGTTTTATATAATTTCGTTATTTACAAAAAAATAATGCAGGTTTATTTTTTAATATAAGAGTACATTTGAATACCTGTACGAAATTTAACAATTAATAAGAATTCTATAAATGAAATGAATTATACTTGCATATAAAAAATTTACAGGCCATAAAGAAAATTATATTTCAGAAATATCCGTGTCCAGAATCAGTGGATATCGCTTCAATCCATATTACAAAATGTCCCCAAAACAGAAAAGAAATGGAAGAGAGAGCTAAAACTTTTAAATGCGAAAGTCGACAACAAAACTGCACAACCCGTGCCCAATATAAATACCACTGTGTTTTGAATTCAAAAGGTGATGGATACATTGAACTGTGTGCACCAGAAGTGGAAATCATTGGTAAGGAATATTTTTAATTTCATTACACGAATAATATTTTTAAAGTGTCTGGTTAATAGAAATATACAAAGAGTTATTTCCACACCTGCACTAAACATTGTAGGTGAATACAACCTTTAATTTGTTATTTTTTTGTGTTATAAAGTATTACACTTTGTCTGGTGCAATTGCTTGTTTTTTGTTTCTTGTTTTCTTGTCCAATGTTATCTCGCAAATAACTTTGATTATCGTGAGGTCAATATACACATGTACGACCTGTACAAGGATGAATGGTATATTTAAAAAATTCAATCATTTTCTTTAGGTAGGCGTTGTACTGAATTTACGACCGGAGGTAAATTCCTCCAAGAACATTTAGAGAGTAAATGTGCAACATGTCCATTCAAATACAACTCATCTGAAAGTTACAAATGTAAGTATGCGTTTTCAATGAAATCAAATAAATGATCATTTACTTAATATTTCCTATTTCAAATTCTAAAAGAGTTTAGTTTATCCACATTTACAATAAATCTTAAACTAACGTAACTTAACTTAGCGAAAAATATTAGTATCGAAAGCAGAAAAAAAACAACTGCTTTATATGGATATCTACTTCCGCCAGAGCCCAGGGTTTTGACTCGAGACGGAATCTGTCACCGACATGTAGCAGTTCAGGAACATCGCACTAGAGCACTCGGTTTTCTAAACACTTACAGCACACTATTTCTGTATTGGAAGGAAGTATACAATTGTGTACTTCTCAAATAAGCTTGAACATTTTTTATTTTGGAATTATTGAATTTTTCAAAGGGATGTCAATTCTTTTGAAACGTAATTATACTATTTTTTTCTAGACGATGAATGCTACAAACTAGAATTCCCTAGAAATCTGCCGAGTACAATCAAAGAAAAAACAATCGAAACTTCGACTAATACACAAGTGGTTATTGTTACAAAGAATGATGGCAGGTACCAGTAGCATTTTGATAATAATTATAAGGAAAATTCAATACTGTGTAGATTTGTAAATGAAAAAAATTGTATTGTTTGATAGCCAAAAGAGCAATGGAATTTTAAAGTATATTAAGTAAAGAGCATTCTGAATACATTGAATGATATCTAACAAATAACATATTATTGAAAGGAGTTTTAAAAAATTATATCACGAAACTTAACTCCTTTAAAAGCTGTATACGACTCGTGAAAAAACACATAAAATATTATCTAACATTTCTCATATATTCCAGGATCGTGGTATAAAAGAAACATGCATGCAAAGCATCAAATCGGCTGCAAAAATATATTTTATAAGCATTTATAAAAATGTCACAAAAAAGAATCAAAAGAAAAAAATACAAAAATAATTAGATTTGTTTTTGAAACACTGATGCCCCTTAATTAAATTGTTGGTACTCAAAAGAAGGTCCTGTAACAAGGAATATATCTGTGAAATATGTAAGCCTTATTTCTAAATGCTCGAAAGTTATATGGCCAAAGTTAAAGTTTTTTAAAGGTGGGTCAAACTCTAAGGACAAGGTCAACAATATTCATATATTCTAAAATGTCATATTGAATATACATGTACGTGAAATACATGTATGAAAACAGCACAAGTTAAAAGAAATATGGCCAAAGTTTAGAATTGTTTTGTAAAAGTGGGTGAAAGGTCAGGAGATAAATTTTGTGGTTCCGTAAGGGATTTCTTTTCACAAGGAAAACACATGTGAAATATGGAAGCCACAACCAATGTTTGATCATACTAAGAATTAAAGTATAGAAATGGTACCATGCATCTTGCTTGTGAATTTTATTGCCACTTTGATCGAAGATTCATTGATGTGTAGTTTTGCCCAGTCCGTTTATTTAATTTGTCTGACTGTCAGCAACAAGTTTAACCTCGCTCATAACTTTTGAATAGGAGTAGAAAACAAATTCAAGAATATAAAAATAGGATAGTTTGACAGAATTACAAAATAAATGCAACACATATATCATTAATCTTTGAGTGCTACAAAAAAGGACGTACAAACTTCATTGATATAATTGAACTTTTGTCATGTATTACATAAGTGCAAGAAAAAATCATGTCATTTGCATCTGTTTTTAATGTTTTCAAAACTCAATTCAGTTCTTAAATATTTTCCAATTTATCTATAATCTTAGGCAAGTAATTCATATTCAGAATCTCCATACGTTTTGAATTTATAACTTATGCACACCTATCTTTGGGTTCATGCAACAACTTTTTTTTATAAATCATTATTTAATGAATATCTGATAAGAAATGAGAAAACGTATTCAAACCTAGTAACAACCATTAAGACAAACTATAAAGATAATTTGTAAAACTTTTATTCATAACTTTTATGCTTGTTATAAAAAAATATTTCATCGAGACATTGAAAACTCCCTTTGTGCACATTTTAACACAAATAAAAATATCGGTTGCTTCTGCGGCCAATTATAAGCCCTTCGTATTTGTTACACAAAATTGCATTTAGATGTTGCTGCTGCGTTTACCATAGGTCAACCTAACGTCGTTCTTCTTGTTCATTTCACTGAAGATGCATTTGGCACGTGGCAGAGGTATTTGGGCATAATTTTATTGCTCCCAAGAATATGACAATGAATGAAATTTTTGCTCAGGTAGACTCAATACATGCATTTAAACAAAACAAAGCTTCGGTTTATATCGTGTCCAAAAAGAAAATTGAGAAAACTACAGGTACATGTACTAGTAATTTGGCAGACAATATAACACTCTTCCTTTTATGAATCCTTTTCAGCTTTTTGAGAACATTTACAAAATGAAGATTCATCTGCTTAACTTAGCAATGACTCATTTTGATGTATTTATAATAAAAACCTCACTTGCAATTGCTGTAAATGTCAAAAAACTAGTAAGTTAACATTTACAAAATAAATCTAAAACAAAATTCATCAGAAAGGATAAAGTAGCATCTGCTGTTGATGTAAACATTGACATGCTAAAAGTTTATCTATATCTTATTTTTGTCTCTTTTTGTCTTCATGTATTTACCCTTTTTATTTCTCGTGCAGGTCGTTGAATGATGCTGTTGAAGATACTGAAGATAATTTCAATGTTAGAAGTGATGATGAGGAAACCAATACTTTTACTTTAATAGTAGCTGTGGGGTGTGTCATAACTTTCGTGTCAATTGTCATCTTTTTAGTTGTTGGAATATTATTCTTACGCAGGAAAATGTGTCACCCCATGTACGGTAGGCAAATTAATCTTCTTTCTCACAAATCATGTTTACGTCAATGTCTTCGTTAAAAATAAAGACCAGAGATCGATGCTTAAAGAATTAACGAATTTGTTGAAAAGATATTACATGCAAAGACCATTACAAGTTACATTACATTTCATGTGATGTTGATTTGAAACAAACTAATAATATGTTGAAAACAGCAATGTACAATGTGTCTAGTAGGTAATATATTAAAAAGAAATGATGTATAGAAAATTTTTCTCCTTAATTCTAGGTCACAAAAAAAATGGGAGATCTGATGTTGGTGAACAAGAAAGACTTCCAACAGAAGAAATTTAATGTAATCTTTATATTTAATAAGTAGGTCCTGTCCATTTTTTTTTTCTTAAAGGAATTCAGTCAAACTCAATCTTTATGTGTAAGACAAATTTTCAGAACATTGTTTACATTTACTTTGAAATTGTTCTATTAATTTTCCAATATCTTGTTGATCAATTTGTAAAAAAAAATTATCTTATTTTTGAAGGGAGTGGGATATTTCTGATAGTTACATCTGAATTTATATCTAATATAAGATAATCAGTCTCGAAAAAGTGTTTGAAATATAAAAAAAAAACGACTTACGCTTTGTCCTGCAGCATGCCTTATTTTATGCCTTGTTTTATTCATGATCACTTCTGCTAACCCTGTTCCAATTCTTTAAACGGAGAATTTGAGTAGAGGAGTTTTTTGTTTTGTTTACAACTTGGCGTTCGATTTTGAACTCTTGTATTCGGAATGATTCGGGTTTACTCGTATACGTTAATGTAATAATTTATAAAAACTCATCGTTCAATAAAATGTGCAGATATTGAACGCTAAAATACCTAGATTTATGGAAATATTTTACAAAGGCAATTTATTAGATATATATTTACTGAAAATACGTGATATGTGCAATATTGTTTTTTATTATTTGTGGGGATTTTTTATGTCTAAATTTTTAAAATAATTTTTATAGAATATTTGCATTATTCAAAGTTTTATGTTTCTCCTGCATGTACAGATTATTGACAAAATTGTTTTAAATGAAAATTGAAATTTTTATACCATATGTTATTCAATAATTTATTTGGTCGATAAAGACCATGCCTAGCGCTTCCATATTTTTTAATAGATTTTTTAAAAACTTATTTTCACTTGATAACTTTTGTTATCATCTCATTTTCATTTTTTCTCTTTGAAACGCCTTTATATAGACACATATCGTTGAAGAGCTTTTCCAGAAAAATGCATTTTGTTACAAATTAATCACTTTCACGTTGCTCTCATCAAAAGGTTTTATTTCTTACTATTTCTCGCATTGTAAATGATTCAATATAATAAAGTCAGTTTATCGCATTAATATTCGGGAGACAAGAAGAGTTTTTCGCTTTTTAAAACTGGAAAAAGAAGACTATGTCACAATCACTTTAATAAAATCTAATTACATAATACTTTTTACCATTTATTAATATTAATATTACACAATACTTACGATACATGTACATGGATCAATACTTTGAGCTATCTTATTAATTTTGCATTGTTTACGAAAAAAAAGTATGGCATAAATACTAGTACATGTAGTTAAAAATATAGAAAAACTAAGAAATTGTAAAAATCTTATACATGATTAGCAGAGATACAAACAGCTAAAAAATGTTGTAAATAGATATTAAACAGTACTGTTTGAAACATGTGGAGATAACGAAAGTATTCAAGATCAAAAGTCCACAACACATTGGAAATATGAATAGAGCAAATAAGGACCCACATACTTCGGATTTGGGTCAGATGCCATCGAGGAGAGCAAATACATATATTGTTAAACTATGTAACATTTTTAAATACGGCTAACTGGTTGACGCTATCGCTGATTTTAAGCAAGCAAAGTCGGACAAGATATGTGTTTTATGCAGATTAACATGCATACACATGTACTTTTCTTTATTTCACAAGTGGATAACTTGAAGTATTTTTTTTTAAAATTAAAAAAATATTTGTTTTAATATACATGTATTAATAAGAATAGAATTACAAAATGTTTTCCAGGAACAGTGACTTCTTGTTTTAAAAAAGACGGGAAGTATTTTTTTATCGTCAAATTCCTTATACTTATACATTTTTTCTTATTTCTAAGGAGGTGGTGGTTATTTTAGAAAAAAATTACATTTGATTTCAAAAATAAAAACAAGGAATAAAAGAAAAAAAATAATCAAAGTATATTACAGACTTACATTTTACATTTGTTTCTGTTAATATTTAAAAGAAAAACATGGGCCAGTTTACCTTTCAACATAGTGTCTTCATTTACATTCGTGAAAACACATAATAAGGGTTTTAAAGCTCTAGAAAGAAAGAAATTTACATTTCTCTGACATGTTTGTCTTCGTAAGACATAAAGAAATTCAAAAAAGTAAAAGATTATATAATGTACAGAAAGTGACTGCCTATGTTGCAACCACTATTGAAATAACGACCACTATTGAAATAATTATATCAATAGTGGTTGGGAGTGCATATCAATAACCAATATAGTTCATAACCACTATTGAAATACGACCACTATTGAAATAATTATATCAATAGTGGTTGAGGATGCATATCAATAGCAAACATAGTAGGTAACCACTATTGAAATACGACCACTATTGAAATAATTATATCAATAGTGGTTGAGGATGCATATCAATAGCAAACATAGTTCGTAACCACTATTGAAATACGACCACTATTGAAATAATTATATCAATAGTGGTTGAGGGTGCATATCAATAGCAAACATAGTACGTAGTCATTACTGAAATACGACCACTATTGAAACAATTATATCAATAGTGGTTGAGAGTGCATTTCAATAATAAACATAGCTAGTAACCACAATTGAAATACGACCACTATTAATATAATCATTTCAATAGTGGGTGAAAATGCATTTCAATATAAGAACCATAGGTTTCAGCAACTATTCAAATAATGTTCACTTTTGAAATACAAAAATCTATCTGCCATTGTCGATTGATTGTTGTTTTACGTCATTCGGCCATTTTCGACTCATATAGAGACGTCACCATATACCGTTGAAGGACTTCAAAGTTTGACCTTTACCCGGAACTCAGGGCCATTCAGCAGTGAGGGATCTTTACCGTGCCGATGCCTGTCGTGACGAGGAACCTTGCAACTATCAAAATAATTATTTTAATCACTTTAAATCATTATTTCAATAACTATCTAAATCTTCATCTAACAACTGATGATGAAATCAAAAATATGGATGCCTGGGTTGGTGTATCTTTTAGTCTGATTTTATTAAAAATGGTAAATTAATAATGCATAGTACACCTGGTCAATAGGGCATATATGCGACTTTAAAGACTATAAATTGAGATACAATATAATAAATAATATAATAAATTTCTAGAGTTAAAGAAATTATCCTTATTTAGCTATACATTTTTATTTTTTAATCTAAATCAAAACATTTTTTACTCCCAATCCCATTTTAGTGAAATCTTGGTAAAAAAAAATCAAAATTACGCGGTAAAACTCTTCTATCAATAAGACAATAGTTGATGAAACTATTGTTCTTATATTGAAATACATTTTCACCAACCATTGATATAATTGTTTCAATAGTGGTCGTATTTCAATAGTGGTTATGAACTATGTCTGCTATTGATATGCATATTCAACCACTATTGATATAATTATTTCAATATTGGTCGTATTTCAATAGTGGTTATGAACTATGTTTGCTATTTATATGCACCCTCAACCACTATTGATATAATTATTTCAATAGTGTTCGTATTTCAATAGTGGTTACGAACTATGTTTGCTATTGATATGCACCCTCAACCACTATTGATATAATTATTTCAATAGTGGTCGTATTTCAATAATGGTTACGAACTATGTTTGCTATTGATATGCACCCTCAACCACTATTGATATAATTATTTCAATAGTGGTCGTATTTCAATAGTGGTTACGGACTATGTTTGCTATTGATATGCACCCTCTAGCACTATTGATATAATTATTTCAATAGTGGTCGTTATTTCAATAGTGGTTGCAACATGCCTACATTATACTTTGAAAAATTTTAATGTTTTACTTTTTTAGTTCCTTTTAACTATGCTTATACAGATGTAACAGTAATACTTTAATTATTTTTTTTTATTAATTGTACACTTTTTTATTCACAAAATATCAACATTTTTATACTGTAGTGTTAGATTTTAATTGTGTGAATGATTTTTATTTTTAAATATATATATATTATAATTATTCAATTAAATTCATTATAAATATTTAATAAAAGAAAACATCTTCAAAACCCAAGTTTGTTCAATATGATATGGAATTATCATACTTATATTAAAGAGGTTTAGCAAACCAGAAACATGTGCATTACGTCATCACTTTTGCTAATGATGACTATCTACACGTATCTTATTACGCAAATTACGTGTACATTGCCAAGTACACGTAATTTAAAACTTATAGCTTATAATTTTTTCACTGATGTATATTTTTCAAAAAGTGTGCGTTTTTCTGAAACCTGAATATTTAATGTAAATACTGATATAAAAACTGAACGTCAGTAATTGAAAAAATGTTAATTTACAGGGAGTTAAAATTACAACATCTAGATTTTCGAAAAAGACTGTGACCGATTAAAAATATAAGAAATCTGTACAATCTTTTTCTCATAAGTACATGCATATATTTATGTAGAACGGTGATATACGTATTAAAAGTATTGCTTTTGCGGATGATTTTTAAATGTAAACCACTTTTACATTTAAAAACTTACAAGTACAAGTACAGGTTATACTTTGCTAAACAAGACAAAATTGTTAACGTGTACGTGTAATTCTAACTTGTAGTTTACACATACATGTACACGTACAAGTGAGCATGCTAAACCTTTCTATTGATGAATATTAGCACACGTTGGCAGTTCAAATGCACGAGTTTGCGAGTGCATTTGAGCACTTTCATGTAACGAGTGTCAATACTCACCAATATAAGTTCAACGCCTTTACTATATACATGTAGCTAAAACATTTCCACATAACTTTAAATAATTATTCCAACTAAAAAATAGCTCAAATTAATGATTTTTTAGTATCGGTAGCCGGGTACTCAAATTAACATCTGTCCTGTAAGTGCTAATATTGCAACACAAACCTGCCGAGCGATATTATTTGCATATTTCGGTTTTAATGGGTTTGACCAGAAAAACAAAACAATAAAATTATTGTGTGTTAGCATATGATACCTAAGCATTAAGTTCAATAAAAACAAAGGTTTTTCTTAAAAAGTGGTTTTAAGTCAGACTGTATGAACCTATGTATTCATTTTATTTATATCACATAATAACAATTTTAATGTAAATAAAATATTAACTTTATACGAGGGTCATTCAAAAAATACGTAGACAATGCTTCTCATCGTCATGTTATTATTTCAAGATGATAGATCGATACATTTTCGTAAACATAAACATTTATTTTGTCGAAGTGTGAAGTTTCATTCCATTTGATTAAATAGAACTCATGCTAGCCAACATTTAAAGCAGCATGTTTTGTTACCACGGAGCACGGTTAACCAATATTGTAACGTCAACAACAACACAGAGAGTTTGTCAAAAGTATACTAATTTTTTTTTAATTTCAAACACAGTCTTGAAGTGTCTTCTCCATTCAAAACACACATATCCACAACACTTAACACCTAGTTTGCAAACAATTGTACACATACAGCTTGAATAAGAATGTTGTTTTTTTCAAATTCTTTAAATCACTATGCAACTCTATTAATTCTGCAACATTGAAGCGCACATCACGTTCAGTGACGTTCCTAAAATCTTTTAACAATATTTTTAACTTTAACCTGTTTCTTTACAGACCATCCATCGTCCGATTCAAACTCGCTACCACTCAAAAATTGTATTTTTAATTTAATACAAATACACAGATCATTTTTCATACAGATCCTGGATTAAAAGGATTTTTAAGCTTGTAGAAGAAGTTTCCTGAATGTAAAGTCTAATTTTATTGCTACTTGCTGCTCCGATCCGTGACATCCTCCAACGTCATGGTTTTTTGCCTTTTTCAATCAAGTCCTTATGTATTTAGAAACTAATATCTTTTAAACGGAGCGAGATATTACATAACCTGATTTCATTTTAATTAATAGAACAATACTTTATTTAAACATGTAAATTTTATTTCGTTTCAGTTTTATTTATTAGAGGTATAGCTGTAAATACTATAAAGTGAAAATTAGAAAAATACTCAATTTTGGCCGTGACCCCATTTTTGATGTTCTAAATCCATGGTAATTTTGATAAATATTAAGATACATTCCATTTTTTTTTATTTGAATCTGTTGTTAAAATATTTGTACTAAATTTGGATATAAAATGACGTTAAATGAAAAAGTCAGGGAAAAAGTCTACGAACTTTTTGAATGACCCTCGTATATATATATATATATATATATATATATATATATATATATATATATATATATATATATATATATATATATATATCAAAAGTCCATGAATAAATATATGTATATTTATATATTCATATATATTTATTATATGATTGAATAATTTCCATCTCTCTGATTGCCTGAGATCCAGAGATCCAGGTATGTTAGAAAAATATTACGTTGTATTGACCTGCACGTAACGTTCCAGGTCAATACAAGGATTTATTTCCTCAACATTGATCTAAAAATAGATTGGGGAATTCCAAATTGATACAAATTGTTTTAAAAAGCTATTTAAACGACACTGATTTGTATTTTCATGTGAACAAAACATAAGCAAATATATATTTTAGGTAAGGGTGGTAATTAAGAGGGTATGCAGGGACACCCCCCCCCCCCCTCCAACACTTACTGAACATTATTTTTTTTTACTTTTTGGCAGTCAGTTTTCCCTGATAATACTTCTTCCTTTCAAAATCTTTCCTATAGAAAGACTGACATTATATATTTCTTTTATGTCTTCTAAAATTGATTTTAAAAAAATTTCAAATTGATACGCCTGGTAAGGTTTATGAACGTTTTAATTCTGCTACTCTCTTGTATTTGGCTAGCACTTAATAAAATGCAAACAAGTAATGAGCTGTATCATTTAATCAATTATCAGTAAATCATATAATAAAACAATTATTGCTGGTTTTTGAGGTCAATACAATGATTTAGCCATCTTCGAAGTACAATATTCACCTCGCCCTTCGTTGAAAAAAGCAGTGTCCTTAGCTCCTTTTATGTTTTGAATTTATTATATTATACAGTGTATATATATATTTTGGAAACTACATAATGGCTATGGATATATGTTGTCACGTATTTTTGTTCAGTGTGTGCCGAGTATAGATCAAAATTTGCAGCTTGTCCATCGAGAAAAGGTGGCGTCTCAATATGCGTAAAAATTCCCGAGAGAGAAGTTAAACAACAAGATCCTCTTTACATTTTGCATATATGACGTCATAAGTACAGAAGTCTTAGTTATAAAATAGTATTGAACGGTGCAAAAAGCAGTGTCCTTAGCTCATTGTATGTTTTGAATTTATTATTATATATTAATATTATTCAATAAACCCAATAACATACAAATTGTTTTGGGTTATATCCATGTGGTTAAAATTTTCTTTTAAAATTTATACTCTCAGTAAGGTTTTTGAGGAAAAAATAATTCACATGATTATTACATTACAATTGGTATGAAGAAGGTCCATTTAAAACAAAACATTGCCTGAGGATCATGCTATTTCATGTACATTGTAAAAAAAATCAGTTTTACATGTAATATCTCATAATAAATTTCTGTGTAGAAAAATAAATAACTAGATATGAATTGAAAAATACTTTTATCTTATGATTGCTTATGATGAAGACGACTAACTATATTCATCAAATATTGTACGAGGTCTTGAATCTATTGAGTGACTGCGAGACAACAATTGTAGACTTTTGCGTGAAATTTAAAGTGATAATATGAAATAGTGTGCAAAACTTATTAAATAGAGTGCAAAACTAACCTTTATTTATTGGGTTGGTGAGAAAAAAAGGTCAAATATTATAAAACGATTAACCCTATCTTATCGTTGAGGGGTTTTTTCTCTAATTAGGTGGATGTTTGAATGTCGGACAAAAATGTGAAGAACTGGTGTTAGAATTTTGAGAACCGTGATAATGCGTATACATGTATATTGCAATAACAACAACAAAACACCCCAGATAATGTAAAATCACTTATTTTCGTGGGGTCAATTTTTTTGTGGTTTGAGAAAAAAAACTCTTGTTTCATGGGGGATTTGAATTCATTGATGAAGATTTGTTGAGTATTTATGTATAAAACAGATTACATTACGTGGTGGGAATGAATTCGTGGTTCTCTTCATACCTTAAAAACAACAAAAATGAACTTCTAAGAAAATTTGCGATATCTTAGTATGAACAAACTTCAAATTACATAATATTTAAAACTATTGTGTTTATCGGGCGATTTTTAAAAATGTATGCGTACAATTGTCATACGCACTCATTGCACTTCTTCATAAATTGAAGATTTATTGACAGCGCCTGGTTGTTGAACAGGTTCAACTAATATCTTTTCATAGAAAGTAAAAAAAGCAAAGGGAACCCCAACAACAAAAAGTAATGCTCCACAAATAATCAATATCATTTGCAAGATTGACACATTGCTTTCCTTTATAGATCTGACGTTGAGTGAACGCCTGACTGTAGTAATGGCTGATGAAGGATAAGTAGAAATTTTCTTGTTTTTTATTGTTGACCATCTTGAAACAATATCGGTTCCTGCAAAAGAGATACATACTTTCATAAGATACATTATATATAATATATAAAATGTCAAACAAAATGAACTTATTTTTATTTACAGATATGTAAATAACACTAATTCAGTTTTATTGAATTTACTAGGTGAATTTTGTTATTCTACAAATTAATAACATATTTATTATCCTGATTACTTGCCTTGTTTTAAACAACCGAATGCAAAATGACAACTTTCGTTATCACATTTGCAATTTTCTGAGCATTTCATCCCATAATATGGAAATTCACACGTCTCTTCACAGTTGATGCCAAAATACCCCGCAATACAATCTTAGAAATAAAAGTGACATGGAGAATAAAAAGTTATCATATTTGAAATTTATTGACAACTCTGGACATTCCAAATCGAGGGCGTAAGGCATGAAAGTTGTTATATTTGCTTTATTTAGTGTTCCCTTGAATTACAAGCTTATATCATAATAACTAGCTTTTTCATGTCCGATGCTTTACGGGTACAACTCTTTTGCAAGGCGGATAAAACTTATTGTCGAAGACAATGTATACAATGAAGAAAATGAATTAATCAATTGCTGTAGCATCATTTGAATATATATATTAAAGTAGATCAAATGTGTATGCATTTCTTGTGCTGCTGTCTTTGACGTCAATAGGAGGGGTGGATTGAAATTGTCAAATTGTCACGGAAGACCTCGTATTATTACAATGTATGCAACAACATTCTATACACATAAATTTACTGTTTATTAGAATTAAATACAAATATAAGTACCACATACTTCTGATGCTAATGCTTGTCGCATAGTCTTTTTTCCTAATGAAGATAAGGCCGCCTTTTGATTTGAAGACCTTTTTTCACTTGGGTCGGACAGTATCAAGGGCAAGCACTCTCCTATTCAGACTCTCCGAATGTTTACAAAAATTTATATTTATAGACAGGATTCATAATGGACAGTTTTGAGTTTTGAGTGACATATGACATATGATTTACAAGTGGATTTAATGATTGTGATTTTGAATAAACAATAATTAAGTCACACAAAGTGCAGTCCATCTGGTCATATCATTCATGGCTCATTAAGATAATTAAACATAATTAATAATTATTAAACATTTCAAATTAGAATAACTCTGACAGATTGAAGCAAGTATGACGACTCATTAAATTAATAACAGATATATGTAGAAATTTTAATTGAGAATACGTGTATATCAAAATCATTTGTCAAAATATCCGATGTTGCATTTCATCTGTGATATAAGAATCACCGTCTAGTTAGTATGATTTGACAGGGACAACAACAATAGTCAGTAACGTTGGCTAATTTATGCAATACATGATTCGTCTATCATTTTTATTTTAAATGAGCATTCTAAAGATTGTAAACAGTCTGTTCAATCAAGTAAGATGTCATTTTGGTCCCGAATTTCCGTAAGGCGTTCCTTTCTATTTGAAGTTTTTTTTATGATATAGACCCGTACTCCCCACATATAATAAACGGTTGCAGAGTGTCTGCTTATTGATGTAATTGATTTAAAACATTTCGCTTAGCGAAATAAGTAATAAACGTCCTACCTGTACATTTTTGCAAACTACGATTCCAGGTTGTTCCAGAACAGCACCCGTCCTCCCTGCTCAAATATATTTTTTGAAGAAAAGATTCTTTTAAAATACTAGTATGTATTACAACATTTATTTCTATGTATTTTCCTTAAAAAAATTTCAATCTAAACATTTTATTGACATTCACTTTGAAGTGAATATTGCAAAACACATAACATTTAATTTGATTTAGTTTTTTAATAAGTTAATTATTCATTATACATGTACGCAAATACAATAAAAGTCCAACTCATACCTTTCATCCACGCAAGGTCCCCTCTGAGAGAGAGAAAAGGAGCTGAGACAGAAAACGAGCACGGTAAGGAGAAAATTCATCATATATCTGATATTAAAATGCTTTATTAAAGAACACATTATTTTATTCCTTTAAGAAGGAAGGATGTCAAACAAATAATTTCTTCCTTATTTTACCAATCAGAGAGTATGCATTCGTATATAAAATATTCAATATAGAACGTAATTATTTTTATCAGCAAATTTAAAAATATCCTGATTTAAAAACATCAAATATACTGTATCAAATGTACTGTATACTGTAAACCAACTTTTATTCGCGGAATTTTTTCGCGATTTACAGGGAATTACCGGTTATAAGTTTGCAACGATAATTTTTCGAAATCGGGCTTATTTTGTATCTGTTGTTAACAGGCACATAGACTTTGAGGACCAGTTCGAAGCGAGAAATATTCGTGCTGATGAGGCTCTCGCGAACCTCGCGAAAATTTCTCCTATGCGAATCAAAGTTAGTTTACAGTAATATATACTGTGGTTAAATAACTCGCTGTGTTTATTATTGCTACATTCACAGCTTTAATAAATTTGTGAATTCAAAAAACAGTGAATTATGCTTTTTTTCGAAAACCTAAATGTTTCCTTTAGAAATAAAAGAAAATACTTAAATATACTTACAGACATTTAACGCTGATTAATATCGTTCTAGCTGTGATAAGTTTTTCAGTATCAAGTTCTCTCAATACCCTTTTTCACTTTTCCGTTGTATAAATTTCCTGTAACATAGAGTGTGTTTGTGTGTGTGTGTGTGGGGGGGGGAGGGGGGCAACCAACCTTTTAATTAAAATTCCCATAGTAAGAATGCGTTTGGAAAAAAGTGTGGGGTCCTCTTGCTTTGTACCTACAAAACGACTATTTAAAATATCCTCGAAAATGGCAAATCACCAATAAAGACTACGCCCCGAAGGAATAAATAACGATTTCCTCACCCTCTGGGTATGTTGAAGAAGCATTTAATTCATTTTCTTGTTAAATTTAATTTTTTATAAATTATCAAAGCTGATTTTTTTAATACAATTATACAAAATAAAGATTTCTGCATTGAAAAGACAAAACTTTAGGTAGGCACATGCACAAGCCTGCATATCTATGTTTTTTTTCACATTCATAGGCGTAGTCACAAACTTATAAGTGGGGGGTGGGGGTGGGGGCTCAAGTCCAGAAATTCTTTGACAAGCAAAAAAAAAAAACTGAAAGTTTCCCTAACTCGAAAATCCGATTTCGCGCGCGCGTGTGTGTGTGTGTGGGGGGGGGGACATACTATCCCCCCCCCAGATCTGGAAGTGGGGGGGGGGTAGTGCCCCCGCTGCTCCCCCTGTGACTACGCCTATGGCATGCATACAGATATGGAACCCTTCAAGTTAAGATGAAGAAAATCGGTGTGTAAAAATATCTGAAAGAATAGTTAAACTTTATTTGACTGTGTAATATTTTTTCTGCAAGTAATGTTTATTACTGCCCTTGAAAACTTTATTTAATCTTATTCCAAACTCAAAAAAGGTATAAAATAATTCAATTCGTTTAATTATGATTGAAAAAAAATATTTTAAACATCTTTATGGTTACGCGACCAATAAGACTTTTTATTGGCTATATTTCTTTTACATGCTTGGTTGGTAAAGATTTAGCTGGGCATCTACGGCGAACGTATCAAATAAAATAATAAAAAAAAAATTTGTTTTGAAATGATTTTCAATGAGAACATCTCTCTTTTAAGTAACTTCCTTCATATACACTACATCACATTTAGTTGTGTTTTCGGTTTTCACTTTCAGAAAATAGATCAATATATAATATATTGAATCATTTCTAATCACTTGGAACCATACGTGTGTTTACGTCTGGAGTATGAAATAAAAGTGGGTCAGGAAATAAGCTTACATTGAATTTTAAGATGCAATGAATAACTTTATAGATTTTAATCTTTAGAAGAGAAACAACTGCTCTTTATATGTTTTCACACATTTTCATAAACACTTGTTCAGTATACTATTTTTAACGTTACAAAACAGCATTGAGGACGGAAATATTTGATTGGCCCATCAAACATGAAAATAGACCCTTTTTAATACCCTTGAACGGAAAATGCAAAGTTGAGGGGAGTAACACACATCCTTTAAATAAATTATCAACTAAAATATCGGTCAATAATCACAAGTAACAATAATATAAAAAAAAATGTATAATGAACTTGAAGATGGTTGCATGGAAATTATGTAGTAAGGACAAAAAGAAAATACTAGTTTTTTGATGAATTTGATTTTCATTTTTTTTTGTTTCATTTGCTTTAGAAAAAATCAAATATTGTTAAATTGATAATGATGTATTTTTCTATTGATACATGTATTTATTTATTTGTTCTGAAATATTTCAATTTAAAGGCGCCCTCAGAAATAAAAAGAAAACAGAACAAACCAAAACACCAAAACCAATTCAACACTATTAAAAGAAATTATCCTTTTTTGCCAACATACAAATCATACTTAGTACACATGACTCGAATCCAGCGGCAACGGTATTAATGGACATTTTCGGTTGGGTGAACTTCTACTGAACTATCGATCATGGACAAAGAGTATGGAAACCATAAATAGCAATCATGAAATGAAAAAAAATAAAACAAACTCGTTATATTGAAATGACGTTTAATTTTTATAACATTTAGTTTACAGCACCTTAAGATTAAAAGTAGTTCTGAATTGGATGAGTAACTAGGCTTATCCGTCATCATGTGTTCTACAATATTTAATTCAAATCGTCGAGTAATATTGTAAACTCTGTTTGAATAGCAAACGTAAACTAATATACTACATTATTCAATTTATTAACTGAATTTGTCACTGAATATATTTTTTTTTATCACTGTCCTCGCGATTGCTTGAACATTTACGAAATAGTAACTACGGGATCTAAAGTATGGGGCTCATTATCCACATTAAAACGTTGCGTAGTTTATTTTGATAACTTTTGAATCATACATTGTAATTGTAATATACATACAATAAATATTCAAACTTCAATTTTTTTTTATTCATGTACTTCTTTTTTACAAAAATTATCCCGCAATTATTTCTACAACACTTAGAAGAATAGATCTGGAATGACGCCAAACACTGTTCATAGTATTATTTACTTTTAACTTTGCAATAGATCTCTCTACAACAGATCGATGTATGGTATCACAGTCATAATCATTACCTACATGTACTTTTGGACACTTTGAAATCACAAGACTTTACAAAAATCAACAGCATAAAAACTTACGACTTTTCAACTTTATACACAACAATTCCCCACGACAAATTAAAATCCAGGCTTTTTGATATCATTGACAGCTGCTTCTTCAACAAAAATGGAACTCGTAAGTTTACTTACCTCGTCATCGGCCATTTGAAAAATTATTTTGTTAAAACAGATTCTGATTGCACACATAAGTACTCTGAAGTTGACATCAAGAAGATGCTTGAGTTTCTGATTGACAATATCTATGTGGTTTTTGGAGACCAGGTATTCCAACAATCTATTGGAATTCCCATGGGTACAAAAACCGTTATTAGCAGACTTAATTTTATATTCATATGAAGCAGAATTTATGCAAAATCTTTTGCGTGAAAAGAAGAAAACACTTGCTGTGGCCTTCAACTCGACATTTAGATATATCGACAACGTATTGTCAATTAATAATGATAATTTCCCTTCCTACGTCGACACGATATATCCTGGTGAGCTTGAGATAAAAGATACCAGAGTCCGACACTTCTGCTTCATACTTGGATATTTTACTTGAAAAAGACACAAATGGTAATCTAACAACCCAGCTATATGATAAACGTCATGACTTTAACTTTTCTATCGTCAACTTTCCTTACTTATGCAGCAATATACCTTCATCGCCTGCATACGGAGTATTTATATCTCAGTTGATTTGATACGCAAGAGCATGCTCTACGTATGAACAATTTCTTAAACGGAGTAAATTATTGACAAGCAAGTTGATGAAACAAGAATATCAGGAGTCTCGTTTAAAGTCATCATTTCGTAAATTCTATGGTCGATACAATGACCTTGTCAGCAAATACAATTTATCATTGAATGAAATGCTGACTGACGTTTTTCATACCAATAGTTAGTCCATTATTTGTACACTGAATTGACCACGGATTTTTTCCGTTATTTCCTGATTATGACAACGAGCACACGGCGTTTGTGACCGGTCGGCAGGGGATGCTCACTCCTCCATGGCACCTGATCCCACCTCTGATGTTTTGGAGGTCCGTGTTTGCTCTGCTCTTATTGTGTATATTTGTTTCATGGACGTTGAGATTGAATACTGTTCGTTATTTCCATATCCTTCATGTATTAATATTTTTGTCTATGTCGCTTACAAACACACCGTTCTGATATATTGACTTTGAATTTTATGATCGATTTAACACATAGTTTTGTAAAAATTTCCCTAATATATATGTGCAGTTATAGTTTCAATAAGAAAAAAAATAATGTTGAAAAACGAATTTAACTGCAAATCTTCGTGTCGCTTCATTTATTTACAATAACAAGATGGAAATCTCGGCCGTAAAAGAGTCCCAAATTAATCAGTTTGCGATAAATTGAAAAAAAAGTTTTTCATCCTATATAAAATGAAATCAAACCACTTCTTGCACAGAAATGTATGGATCTTCTTTCATGCGAAATCATTGTATGTCTATAAAAATTGAATAATTTCCGTCCCCATTTTTCCCCCAAATCACGTGAACAGAATGCAGATTTCAAAAAGAACTGAAACTTACCTAAAAGTGACATCGAAACCTTCCATCTTTGATTTTAGTAGCGAGTCAGCTATTGTAGACGATTACATTTTTGAAATAACAAAATGAATTACAGAAAACCTGTTGTCTCTCTTTAAAAGTTAACTTCCGTAACGATATTTCAGAAAAGATTTTGCATTAATGGAATACACTTTTTTTATTATTTTAGGAGCAAAACTTCATCCTTTTGTTTAATATCCTAACAAAAGCTTTGATTTTTCCTATCGCCGAGATTTTAACTTTTATTGCTTTATAAATCGTATTTTAGCTTTCAATACTGAACATTAGACACAAAAATGGTCAAATTCAGCGTTATTCAAAAATCAATAAGACTGAATTAAGCATTTATCTTAGTAGCCTTACATTA